TCGATGCTTTAACAAGTTGAAAAAATTGTGAAAAAAGTGTTTTTTTTTCCGGAAATTTGTTGAAAACCTAGATAGAAGCTACCAGTAAAATGAATATAACTCCTGAGCTGTAAAAGATACAGACCTGGGGTTGGTGTAGGATTGTAGATCTCGATCTAAGCTATCGATTTCACTGTTAGGAAATCAAAACTGAACATACTTTCAGAGCATGGGAGCCTCAACAAGTTTGAGTTTGAACATTACCAGGATAAACTGTATCTGATGGTCTGGTTTTTCCATACTGTTACGTGCCATGTCAGACTCTATCCAATGGTGAAAATCGCAGGTCTCTATCGCCTTCCGTTCAAAAGTTATAAGCATTTTACCCACTAGCCTTTTTTTAAATTCCGATAATAGTTTAAACAACATTTCTAAAAGTAATCTTGCCAAAAATGTTTTGTTTTTGTTTTTTATCTATCTTTGAAATAAATGTATTTTTCTCTCTTGAAAACATTATTCTTTTTTTTTTTGTTTTCTTCAAGGAATAATTGATATTTTGTAAATATTGTTAATCAAGTATTTGATGATTTATTCATAATTGCACCTATATCTAAAAAGATCTTTTCGCAGTTTTTTATATATTAATAAAAAAAATCATGTTAAAACTTTTTATATATCGATCGATTGATAATGTTTATATAAGATTTGAATACGATGTCTTCACGTCCATATACGGTAAAATGAGCCGTATACATGCTCTTATGCCATCATGGTTACATATATTTTTGTGAAACACGACCTAAAAGGAGTGTTGAAGTATATAGGGGTACAAATTTAGTCCCCCTCCCAGCTCACAGTGGACAGAAAAAGGGAATCAGGAGAAATTTTTACAATTATTGCAGCAATAAGCGTAATATTTTGTGTAAATACATTTGGCACTTAGAAGCGCTTATCTATACTAATGCAGCTTCTTTTACTCCGAAAACTGCTATGAAGTGAAGCTTTTTAGTTTAAAAAAACTGCCCATTATAAAACTAAAACGTAATTGTCCTGTTAAAATACTTTTTA